TTTTGAACAGTCATATCTTCGGTTACAGCATCTGTCCGTTTCGGTGGCTATCTTAATGTTGATCTAGCCGAATTCCAGACCAACCTTGTTCCGTTCCCTCGTGTTCATTTCCCCATGTTTGCCTATGCACCCATCGCACAGGACTCCAGAGCTACCCATGAAACAAACACTATCCGTGAAATGACATTGGCCTGTTTTGATCCAAGCAACCAAATGGTCAAGTGTAACCCGCAGAACGGCAAATACATGGCAACCTGTCTGCTCTACCGCGGTAACATCGTCCCCAAGGAAGTCCATGCTGCAGTTGCTACTGTCAGAACCAAACAGACTATCCAGTTTGTCGACTGGTGTCCCACTGGTTTCAAGATTGGTATCTGTGATAAAGCTCCTGAGCACGTGCCAAATGGTGACATGGCAAAGACGGACCGTGCAGTGTAAGTCTGAAACGAATCCCCTCCCCCTTCACCCCTCCACAGATGGTGGAAGAGGAAGGGTATGAAACAACAGGAGGCAGCCAGGCTAACATCATCATAGGTGCATGCTTTCCAATACAACTGCCATCGGAGAGGCATGGACGTCTCTCTGCCACAAGTTTGACCTTATGTACTCCAAGCAAGCCTTTGTTCACTGGTTCGTCGGCGAAGGCATGGAAATGGGTGAGTTCGCTGAATCTCGTGAAAATCTAGCGGTCCTGGAGCGTGACTACCAGGAAATCGCCAACGCCGAGGGTGATGAAGAACCCGAGCAGGAGTACTAATCAACAGCACTCCGAATCAACATATCACTAACCAACTCCTCTTCTGCCTGCTGGTCTATCACTACAATAATGCACAGCCGTCTACCTGTTCGGCTCTCTGGCTCATGACAACTAATCTCCAGACGCTAACCAGCCGAAGGCGCGGTTCTCTAATATTGCTCCTGATGGCTTGATGGAGAGGCGGAATTGGGGGTGCTGGTTGTCAATCCATGCCATGTCCTCGATTTAGGGACCTTCCCCCCCGGTATAATATGTTTTTTGTCGTCTTCTCTTTCTCTGGAGGTGCAAGGAGTTTTTCCCTATATTTTGCATTTCTTGAGTAGAGCCTCTTTCCCTCCCTACATGCAAAATTTTCTTTTTCTAGAACCGGTAATCCACAGCAAGCGTTTGAATATATAAAAAACTAATTCCCTTTCTCTCATCTTGTCTTTTCTCTCTCAATCTTTCGCGGCTGCTTCACATGATGATGTAATGATTAGATAATCCAATATTCGGCGAGAGTTTATCCGAACTCCGCGCGCCTCCTGATTGGCTGCAGCGACCTCGTCGAGCTTCCCCCCCAAAAGCAGAACGACGACGACGAGGTCGACGACGACAGACAACAACGTCCAAAAAAGCACCTTCAACGCCTTCGTTTCTCACTGCTATTACGCCGCCGAAGAGCTTGTCTCCTTCGTTTTGCTCTGCTCTCCCCTTCTACGCTGCGACAAACACTCCGGCTCTGCTGTTTGCTGGTTATCAGGGGCACCCATCCATCCGTTGTTTGGGCTGGCTGATATAACTAACGACGCAGCCTGCGCGCCGCCGCCCTCCCGACATTCGCACATTGTACAATATCGCTGTCTCGCGGGGGACTACTCTCTCTGGGTTCTTTGCAATATTGTCCTCTAGAGGGAGGGAGATACTGGCATTATGGCTGACTGTAAGCTCTTCTGTCTTGCTTTTACTCCGCATTTTCCTCCTGTCCCTATTTTGCCGGTACCTTACCTACCATGCCTTCCGCGCAACACCTTGACTGACTCGTTTCGATATTAAACTTATAGCTGCACAACATCCTAATTTAAACCTAACTCCCGAAGAGAAGCGAGTCTTCTATCAATTGTTCCAAACCGCAGACAAGACCAACTTGGGCGTCATCACCGGGGAAACGGCGGTTTCGTTTTTTGAGAAGACGAACTTGGCTCCTGAAACTTTGGGTTTGGTATGTCATTCTTCATCAACCCGGGACACACAAACGGACCTGTATAGCTAGAGAAAATTGCTAATTTTTAAGTTCAGATATGGCAAATAGCAGATACACAGAACCGCGGGCTTTTAACGCCGTCAGGGTTTGGAATTGTAATGAGATTGATCGGTCATGCGCAGGCGGGCCGACATCCAACAGAGGAATTGGCTTTACAGCGTGCGTCTACGCGATTTATATATCTACAGTTGCCAGGAGGTGCCACTTACTGACATATATTGATTGTATAGCTGGACCCCTACCTAGTTTCTCTGGCCTCAACATAGACGTCCCAACGGCTACAAGTCCGCCTCCAACCGGCCCACCTCTTAGAGTGCCACCACTAAACCCCGACGATGTTGCGAAGTTCTCCGCGCTTTTTAATAAGTCAGATACACAAAACGGATATATATCCGGTACGAGACGCGTTTAGCCACTGATATCACCTCCCTGACCAATTGCTGACCATAGGATAACAGGAGAAACTGCCAAGCAAATATTCGAGAGAGCTCGATTACCAAATGAGATCCTGGGCAGAATATGGAATCTAGCTGATTCAATGCAGCGCGGTGCCTTGGATGCTACGGAGTTTATAATTGCTATGCATCTTTTAACCGCCTACAAATCGGGCGCTTTAAGAGGGATACCCCAGTCTCTTCCACCGGGGCTGTATGAAGCTGCCGCGCGGCGAGTAGTTGCCCGGAATTCAACTGGCTCTCGGTCCATTCCAGATGTGCCGCCAGTACCTGCCATTCCGAAGCAATTCAGTGGTTCAGGCCATGTTCCCCGTGCACAGAGCCCCTTAAGCCAGGTACACACAGGAAGTGACTGGCTTATCACTCCTCAGGACAAAGCACATTTTGATAATGTGTTTTCAACAGTAGACAAAGCAAGAACTGGGTACATCAATGGAGACCAGGCTGTTGGCTTCTTCACTAACGCGCGACTACCAGAAGAGGTCTTAGCACATATCTGGGATTTATCAGACATTGACTCTGATGGCCAGCTGAGTAGGGATGAATTTGCTGTTGCCATGTATCTAGTGCGGCAGCAGCGGACAACAAAAGAGCCACTACCACAGACCCTACCCCCTAACCTGGTGCCGCCCAGCATGCGACGCTTGGGTGCCCGTGCCATCCAGCCCCAGACAACCGGAGCTAGGTCGGCGTCTGAAGACCTTTTTGGCTTGGATGTGTTCACAGCCCCGACACAGGTGGCCCAGTCTACAGGAGGCTCTGGCTCTCAATTCCAACCTCCTTCTTCACCCACGCGCCAACCGCCATCCTCCACATTCAAACCCTTCGTACCAGCGTCTTCCTTTGGCCAGAGCCTAGGACCTATTGCCGCCGGTCGCCCGGCACTAGGAGCTCAAAATACCACGGCCTCTCCATCGGATGATCTCCTTGGAGACGCGGATCCTGAGGAAAGCAAGAAGCTGACCCAGGACACTACCGATCTTGCAAACCTCTCCAACCAGGTTGGCACGCTTTCCAAAGAGATGCAAAATATCCAAACCAAGCGCAGTGCTACCGAACAGGACAGTGGTCAAGTCGAGCAACAGAAGAAGGACTTCGAGGCCAGACTCGCGCAGGCTCGAACAATGTATGAAAATGAAGTGAAGTCACTCAAGGCGCTTGAGGAACGGCTAGCCACCTCGAAGGCAGAGGTTAAGAGACTTGAACAGGAGTTCTCCCTTATCGAGGCCTCCCGACGCGACGTGGCTACTCAGTACAATCAAATGGCTGCAGCACTGGAAGCCGACCAGCGCGAAAACGCCTCTTTGAAAGAAAAGATCAAGCAGGCTAATGCTCAGACAAGCCAGCTAAAACCACAGCTGGAGAAGATTAAGTCTGAGGCCCGTCAACAAAAGGGACTGGTAGCTATCAATAAGAAACAGCTTGCGACTGTTGAGGCTGAACGTGATCGCCTTCAGGAAGAGCTCGACCAGTACAACCAGCAAAACGAAGGGTCAGAACGAGATGCTGCTGCTCCCGGCTCCCATAATTCACCATTCGAAAGCCCTGCCGCGTCAACCGGCAGTCAGGCGAAGAACCCTTTTTTTAGACGTGGAACGGGCGTGTCCTCCCCAGGAACGCTCTCTCCCCAGGCTACCGGTCAAAAGCCGCAACCAAATGATAACCGCAGCGTTTTTGACAACATGTTCGGATCCTCCTTCGCTCCGTCGTCTACTTCTACCCCACCTCCACAAACTACCTTCAGAGCCGCGTCCCCTCGCAGTGGAGCATCCACCCCCGACGCTAGCAGAGTTGCAAGCGGTTCCTTTACTCCATCTACAGCTTTTGATACTCAGTTTGGGGCTGCCGCTGCTGAGCCGCCGGCGCCACCACTCTCGAGGCAGATTACCCCAAACAATCTCCCTCTTGAAGGTCACGCAGTATCCGTGACTTCATCCAACAGACCTTCCCCACCAGCGAGTCGCTTTGACACCTCAGGTATTTCAGAGGCTGACGCTCTAAGAAAACAATCCTCTCCTTTTGATGAAGAGGCTGGCGATGAGGCTGCTGGTGCTGCAGACGATACCACAAAGAGCGGAATAGAGCCGCAGCCAGTTGTTCCCGGCGCATTCCCAACAAACACCACGCCACAGCCTGAGAACAAGAAGGAAATTAGCTTCGATGAACTATTTAGTGGTGTGGCACATGCCAGATCTCCGTCTCAGAAGGCCTCTGATTTTGAGGAAGCATTTGCGTCCATGAAGAAGCCAGGTGAGAAGACAGAGGGTGACAAAGATAAATCCAACGGCTCTGCTGCTGCTGGTAGCAACGAATTTCCCCCAATTAGGGAATTTGACGACGACGATGATTCTTCCGACGATGACCACGCCGGATTTGACGATGATTTCGCCCCCGCCTCTCCTCCCCGGGATACCACTTCCTCTCCACAAGAACCATCGAAAGATGAAGCTCAGAAGTCCAGCTTTGCTCCAACGGACTCATTCAGCAAGCCTCTTTCTCCACCGCCTGGACCAGGTGTCCAGAATACCCCTCCAGAGTTCAAGGGGTTAGTCCCAGGAAGACATGATCCGACCGCAGCGGGCGACGCACCCCATTCAGTCGAATCAACAACGAAAGACCCCATCATTGGAGGCGTCCCCCATCATGATGCTGCCAATAAGAAACCAACGAATCCTGATTTTGAAGCAGCTTTTGCCGGACTTGACCTAGCCCCAGCTCAAGAAGTTGAAGATGACAGTGATGACGATACTTTTGAGAGCCCATTTAACAAGGACGCGTCTAACTTTGATATGTCATTCGATACAGCATCTGGACAACCAAAGCCTGCAAACAGCTCCGGCAATGCAGATTTCTTCTCCTTCCAGCCAAGCCCCGGTGCAACAACTTCCACTAACAACAAATCTCCATTCTCCAGCGAGGCCCCTTCTGCTGGTCCAACCAAGAACGCCAGCTCTAACCATGACTGGGATGCTCTGTTTTCTACCCTTGACTCAACTAAAGCCGCCGCTGCCGCAAACAAGGACGGTGCTAGCCATGCCGCAACCGAAAACACTTCAGCCATGTCGTTCCCACAGCCTCCCAGTCAGAACAAACCCGCTGGATGGGCATTAGATGCCAGCACAGGTGAAGATGATATGATTCTCCAGCGGCTAACTGGTATGGGCTACCCACGTGATGAAGCTCTTGCCGCCCTGGAGAAATTTGACTACAAGCTTGATGAAGTAAGAAATCTCTTATTCCTCTACAATTCTCATATTCCTCTATAATTCTCATACTAACAACATGTCTAGGCGGCTGATTTCCTCGCTTCAAAATCATGAACAATTCAATGCCTTTTTTCTCATTGCCATTACCACGGCCTCTTGAGTGAAAATAGTTATTTACACCTCACCGTTCGTTCTCGAGCCACGACACACCTTCAAAGCTATGTTTCATTTGTCTCCGTCTGCTCTTGACCGAAGAATACTTCAATTCCCGCCATCAACGTACATACGTCTTGATATTTTACTCTCCCTTTTTATTAACTCTGTTGCTCACGCGCCATCGCGATGTTTGATTCCATTCCTTTTCTCATATCTGCGCCTTGTAGCTTTAATATTAACGACCTTTCAGTTAAGCATATATTTCTTACTTTTCCCTTCTCATGAATGGTGTTCCTTGCGCCGCGGTCGCTTTGGCTTGTTTTGTATAGATATTGCGCTTGTATATGTACAACCCTGTGTGCCTCGGGGGCTATCCCGTATTTTATTTTGCTTCTTCCTCCGTCTACCAATGATCAAGATGATGTCAGTGCATTAAGAGTTCGAGCCTCGTTTCGTTGATGCCCTGAACCAAACACCGTATATAGTTAAGGTACGGTCCAGGAGAAGGAACCGTGTTTACAGGGAGCTAAAATGAGCCGGAAGTTTACCTGTAAGAGGAAGGTTAATGCCTAATTTCGAACAGCCAGCCTTGCCGATTATGTGCTGTCCACCAACCAGAGTCACACGGCACCATGCATACACGAACATCGGACGACATGGAACGGTCAGGGGTGTAAATAGTCACGATGGGGCAAATGCTGAACAGCAAACATACAAATGGAAATTTCTAAAGTTCCTTTATTAGTATCGTCTTAGCACGCATAGATAAATCAATAGCTAGACTAAAGGCTCATTATCAACTTAATGGGTATCATATATTAGTTATTGGAACACCGATGTAAACTCTCGCGGCTTGAGAAGGGTATTAGTAACTATCCAAGGAAAAGGATAAAAAATGATAGAACAGTCATTTAGTTAACTAGAGTCGAGGCAACCTAGACTGCATGTTGTTCTGGGCCTCCAGAGGCCCCTTTGTTTCGATTGTTAATCATAGGCATCACGTTAAGCGCGAACGTAGCAACGAAAGCGGCCCTATAAACACCGTTAAAGGTGCCCGTCAGCCACAGGTCTAGTTGAGGTCGAGATATAGATATCTAAAGGGAAATCACCCACCATTCGAAAGCACCAAAAGCTATAGCAGCCTTGACAACACTGCATACAGTACACTGTCCAATATTACTGGTATCGACAGCCAGGGAAATGAAAGCAGAGAACCAGAAGAGAACGGTGGCTGCCTCAACACCGAGAAGCGCATACTGGTGAGCGAGCGCCGGGAAGAATTTGGGTGAGAAAACAATGAACGGTAGGGCGATAAAGAGTGTCCAGATGCTGTCGAAAAGTAAGAAGTTGGCACTGTCGAGGCCTCCGAATATAAGTCTTTCGCGGACCCAGTTAATAACTAATGTTCGATGAGTTAGTATTGCGTATGGATAGTTATATGTGGTTGATCTAGAAAAGTAGCTAGGGAGGTACATACAGTATGCGATCAGCCCCAGAGTAACAACGGCCAGAAGGGCCTGGACGCCGCGAAGGATGAGGATGATGTTAGGCATGGTAACTGGCCCCTGTAGACCTGAAGAAGTTGATATAGAACTGCAAGTCGAAGGAAGGATTTTGGCCAGCTAAAGATCTGTGCGAAGGTTGGGTTCGCCGTGGTTAGTTATATGTACCAGTAGCCTGCAGAGGTGAATAGAAAGCAAGAAGGCCAAGATTCCAAAGGGGGGCAGTGAGGAATAAATATGAGTTAAATAGCTGGTAATATGACGTCGGCTCGAAAATGTATGAAGAGCAATGTGCCCACTCTGCTATTATTAGATACTTTAACTAGCAAGCTTGCGATGGGGAAGGGCTGAGATACATCAAAATGGGCTAAGCCATCCGCCTTTCACACATGATAAGGCGTCCACATTTTAATTTGCAGCCTAAGAGCACGAGTCGTATTGGACCGACCGTTCGGCTGAAGCGAAGTTGGAGCTCTGTCACAATCGCGGCTCTTGGTGACAGGGAACATCCCAAACGTCAAGGCGGGCCGGGATGTTCGTTAACTAGTTAGGACAATCAAGCTAAAAACCATTAACACCAGTTGTTAAGTTTGCTCACAGCCTCGTTGATAATGACCCCTTCCGTGCTCCCGTACTCCGTACAAAGCCATCATCGATGTTTGATGCCTCAGCATGGAGGCGTTGACAGACTCAGTATTTGTCATGTTAACTGGTTATTTGAACAGGTAGTTATCCTGTTACCTAGCTGGGCCTCGATAAGCCTCTGGTTAGTTATGAGGGGCAACTATACAAGCCAGGATATAGCTGTTAGGTGGTGCATCGTGCTTCTATGCAGGGTGTGAAGTGGCTTGCCGTAACTAGCGGGGAGACGACTTCCCTCACTTCACGAGAAAAATGAATCTCAGGATTTTCACTCTCTAAGGCCTGAACACAAGTCGCTGCCCGTGATCAAAAATGGACTTATATCCGAAAACATCCCCAGTGGTTCCACGACCGAAGCCGATGAGGTTGCTGGTTCTGGGACTACCGCGTACTGGTACCACATGTGTGTAGTTATATACACAACTGCACCACACTGAAGAAGATACATACCTAACTAATATTGGAAGTCAGCTATCTGCGCCGCCCTGGGAGTTCTGGGTTTCAATCCATATCATTATAACGAAGTGTTGAAAAATAACAATAATAAACACTTCGAGATTTGGCTAGAGGCTGTCAGAGCAAAATACGACGGAGTCGGCGAGCCGTTTCAGGGGGCGGATTTCGATCAACTGCTCTGGAATTATGATGTAAGCTTCCATCTCTCTTGGACTCTGTAGTTAATTATTCCATCAAAGCTAAGGCGGAGCCATGTTGAGAGGTTTATTTTCTATCATTTTTTTCCCGCCCAGTTTCCGTGGTTCACTGACTAGTTAGTCCTCTAGGCAGTGACAGACGACCCCTGCTGTCTCTTTGCTGAAGAGCTTATTGCCGCGTACCCTGACGCGAAGGTGATTCTAACCACGCGGCCGAGTGACGCATGGTTCAGGTCGATGAAAAAGCTGATTCTCGAAATTTTGTCCTGGAAATCCTGGCGTTTGCTCTGTTTTTTTGACAGGGAGTTTTCAGCTCCGTACCAAGCTCTTCTTCATCGTACCACTTCCGTCTTATCGAAAGACCGTCCTCCATGCGATCCGTCCTCCCAGAACGCTTTTCTTGAATCTTTTGAAGAGCATAATGAGCGTGTGCGTGCTGCCGTACCAAAGGAAAGATTTTTAGAGTTCAGAGCAGACCAGGGTTGGGGGCCATTGTGCAAGTTCCTTGGGGTGCCTGTACCAGAGAGTAAATACCCGCACCTCAACTCGGGGAAAGATGCGATGCAGCTGGAGCACGACTTGTATTGGTCTCGGTGGTATTGGGTAGGCCAGCAGATGGGAAAGAAGGTGGGAATTGTGGTCTCCGTATTGGCTGCGGTGTGGTTTGCCCGCAAATATCACCTCTGAAATAACGAATAACCACCACACCTTTCCAGAAAGTCACCCTTTGTACTGAGACTAGTTGATGTACTCTCTGGTTGTGTGTATCATGATTAAGAGGTTGCACGGCCTCTGAAGCCCGCTGCACATGGCCTCGTGAACTCGCTAGCTGTGCACGCTACACTCTGCATCAAGGTGTAAAACCAAGTCGCATGAAAACTCCTCACTTTCCAATTCCCTTTGTTGAAGCTACATGTTCAGTGGCTAATAATGACTCGCTTCTCACTGGCTAACCGCCTGTTGACTAGTTAGTTATGTTCCTTTGAAGAGCTCGGGCGGTTGAGATGCGGTCTTTATCATCTTGGCCCCCCTGCAGGCGTTTTCTTAATATTTTAGTTACCCTGATGAAAGGTTCAACAGGAAACAGAGTGAACCCATGTAATTTGCAGCGTTGGAAGGGAAGGATTCGAAGAGCCTCATAACCTGGATAACTCATAGTTACACCGTTTGGCTGTCAGATAATCTATGTGTGTAGATCTCTTGGTTCCTACCCCTCCAACAGACGGCTCGGGAATAGATGCCCTGGTGATCATGCTGGATAGCCTATTCAACGCACCGAGTTAGTCAAGTTGAAGCCCGCAGAGTCGGGATAATCTCACTAATGATGCACGAAAGGACGGGACCGGATTGTTGCTCCTCGGGGAAGCAGGCCATTTGCAAATCTGCCAGCAGGGATAACTAACTAAAAGTATCCGTATGGTTGAAGAGTCGAAAAGTGTTGTATACCCGCATCTCTATACGCAAGAGTAGCCACTGGGTTGATGAAGCAGAGAATCTGATGGAGGAAAAGAGCGAGAAGTCAAGTGAGTTTGTAGGAAGAAAAGTCGAGTCGTCGGATATTGCCTAAAGCGGTATCTTCAACGTTCTCTGATCGCTCACACTGTAAAACACTGCAACTTCGCATATCTAAACAACCTCATCGCCATCAAAGCACCGTTCTAGCATGTAAGTATAGAGCAGATAACTATATCACTTATGACTAGGTACTCCATACTGTCGGGCTCGCTCGCTTCGGAATCTACTAACAAAGCTGATGGAATAGGGTCCCGCGGTAACTACTCCTAGAGACATTCCCAAAGTCAACTGCTGAGTTCTGGATTACCTACCGGCTTGCCGCGATGTCTCTACGATATAACTCGCTGGCTGCGGGCGTTCAAAGTCCCCCGTACCCACCTGCAACCCAAAGCCCCCCTGATAACCATCGAACCTCCCGGATCACGCAATACGGGATACATCGAGATCGGAACCGGTGTTAGGGTGAAAGGCAGCGAAAGCCCTGGCGTCGCGCTGAAAGTACAAATGCCGGCTTCTTCTCCCTGCGGATTTTAATCTTGCATCCTCATCTTTATTCGCTTGTCCACATCGGGTTTTTACGTACGCTTGCTTCTCCCTGATCGGCTGGTAACTAGCGAGCAAGAGGCCATATCCCTACCCTCTTCCTCCGTACTGCCCTGGCCTAACTACCCCGCCTCGACGTGGCTCTGGCTTTGTTTAAATACGGTCGTCGAGCCTGCAATTGACCAGTATAACTTGATCTCTGATCATTCTCATCTAGTTTTCAGTTGCTGTTGTTTCTACATAGAGTGAAGATCGCTCATCATGGCTTCTGACAACCGCCGCTTCGAGACCCTCCAACTTCATGCAGGGTAGGATTGAATTTAACCATTGATTCGCATGGCGCAATGCATACTGATAGAATGAATGACTAGACAAGAGCCTTGTCCGGCCACCAATGCCCGTGCTGTCCCGGTTTATGCCAGTACTGTTAGTTGAACTACGGATGCCGCTGCTCCTCGAGAACCTAGAATACGCTTTGCTTACTCTTCCTAGTCCTTCACTTTCAAGAACTCTGAACATGCTGCTCGGTTATTTAGTCTGAAGGAATTTGGCAACATCTACAGCCGTTTGATGAACGTACGCATGGCACTCCCCCTGCCCTCCTCTAGTTTTCTTACCTCCAATTGAAAAGCGAAGTGGCTAATTGGCGCATGCCTAGCCCACTGTCGATGTCTTTGAAAAGCGTATTGCTGCCTTGGAAGGTGGTGTAGCAGCTGTTGCTGCATCTTCCGGGATGGCAGCTCAGTTCATGGCCATCTCTGCTCTCGCCCATGCTGGTGACAATATCATCTCTACCACCAACCTCTATGGAGGCACATACAACCAGTTCAAGATATTCCTACCCCGTCTAGGAATTACTACTAAGTTCGTCGAGGGAGAGGATCCCGAGAAGATTGCTTCGTTGATCGACGACAAGACCAAGGCCGTCTACGTCGAGACCATTGGAAATCCACGATTCAACGTGCCTGACCTCGAAGCCATCGCAAAGGTTGCGCATGATAAGGGCGTTCCTCTTATTGTAAGTCGATTGGCTGCGCATAATTTAGATAGGGAATACGGAGTAGGGAGAGCGTTTTTTTGAGGCTGACGGGTTCCAGGTTGATAACACCTTTGCAGCAGGAGGATATTTCTGCCGTCCCATTTCCCACGGAGCCGATATTGTCGTCCACAGTGCCACTAAATGGATTGGAGGACATGGCACGACGATCGCCGGTGTAGTCGTTGACGCTGGCACTTTCGATTGGGGCAAGCATGCCGCTCGGTTCCCCCAGCTGGTCGAGCCCTCTGAAGGTTACCATGGGCTCAAGTTCTGGGAGACCTTTGGCAAAGTTGCGTTTGCCATTCTAGTCCGCGTCGAGATCCTTCGTGACCTTGGCTCCGCTCTCAATCCGTTTGGCGCACAGCAGCTGCTGCTTGGTCTCGAGACACTCAGTCTGCGAGCTGAACGTCACGCCTCCAACGCTATGGCCCTCGCCAAGTGGCTGGAAAAGCACGAGAATGTCGCATATGTATCGTATCCTGGCCTCGAGAGCCACGAAAGCCACGCAACGGCGAAGAAGTACCTCAAAAACGGCTTTGGCGGCGTTCTGTCAGTTGGAGTCAAGGGCGGTGCAGCCGCCGGTACCAAGGTTGTCGACGGATTCAAGATGATTTCCAACCTCGCCAAGTAAGTCCATCTCGGATGCTCCGTAACTATCAATTCGATAGCGGGTTGAGGCTAATGTTTGTATGCGGTCACTAGTGTTGGCGATTCGAAAACGCTGGCCATCCATCCATGGTCGTCAACCCACGAGCAATTGACCGAAGACGAGCGCCGTGCTGCTGGTGTCAGGGACGACGGCATCCGCATCTCGGTCGGAACAGAGCATATCGACGACATCATCGCCGACTTCGAGCAGTCCTTCGCCGCCTGCAACGCTGCTCTTGCCGACCGTACTGCGTAGAGCGCACCGTCGTCGTCGGGTGTTGTTTGAAGGGACAGGGGAAAAAGGGCGATATGGCACTCCGTACTCCGCAAGGGAAGGAGACACACAACGTAAATAGCCAACTAGTTATATATTCTCTGGCTCAGCCAGCCCAGCTTGAGCGATAGAACGAATGACGATGCATGTGAAGTGACCGCTGGCTGTCTCTCTTTCTCTTCTTCTTTTTTTTTTTTTTTCTTCCTTTCGGGTAGCCCGACGTCTCGGATGCTCTGCTAACTCGGAACCAGCCCCAGCCAGTGAGTTACAGCTGGCCCCCAGCCGAGGCTTGCACCGTCGCAGCGCAAGTACCGGTACCTGCGCCGCCCCCGGCGTCCCCAGGGCAGCGCCCGCAAGGTGCAGGTACTCTTTTGCCGGCGTCTCCCGCAAAAAAGTACCTGCCGGGAGCCCATGTGAAAGGGCGAGGAGACCCTTGTCGCAGAAGTACCGGTACTTCCTCGGCGCATACACCAAACGACGGGCGTCGGCCGCAAAGGGAAATCTTCGTCCATCAATCTTCCTCTCTGCTCCATCGCCTACATATACTCCTCGCCCTCCCTCCCTTCTTCTTCTTCTTCTTCTTCCTCCCTCCTGCTCCTCTGCTTGAATCCGTGGTGTGGAATGACCGGCTAGTTATCCTTATTCCTCGCCGTCTTAAGCTATTCGATCGCTCTGCGTACTGGTGCGTCCATGCCGGCTCCCGTCTATTAATTAATTCCCTTCTGGTGCCACGTCTGCAGTTCCAGCTCTTCCAGGCGCAATTCCCCCCAGAATTCCTGCAGCGTCTGTCAAGCTAACCGTGAGCCTGGTGGCCGGTGTAGTGACAGGTTAATCCTCCCTAATATCCATCTCCGTAACGTTCGCCGTATTCGACCCTCCAGCGGAGGACAGAGACAAGAGACTACAGAACCCGTTGGGATACCAGACAGCTGGCATTGGCTACTGTTACGGCCGGCATCGATACCTGCAGTATACCTATCCTCTAGCGTTGAGACACGCACGCTGCCGCAATGCTCTTCTCGTCCGAACCAGCGCTCCAGGCGGCTGCTGCGCATTACAGCCAGAAGCCGCCCAAGGGAACTCCAGAGTCCGTCCCGGTGCCCAACTCTGAGCTACCAGGCCGGAGCAAGGTGTACCGGCACTGGAAGGTCGGCAGCAAGGAGCTTCCCAAGACCCTCGATCCAAAAGTGAGCCATACACAGATCTATACACTATTGCACCTGATGCCTCGAGCCTATTTCTCTTTGTTCTGCGAAGGAGCGCCTTTTCACAATAATGCGATATGTACTGACCTGCTTTTCGCTTCAACAATAGGTCCGCACAGGCCATGACATGTTTGAGTCTGCCGGTTCGTTTGGCCCCCTTTGTTACACATGATGTGAGTTCCGAGAGAGCTGTTTGGCTAATTTCAATCTAGCCTCGCTATATCCAAAGAGGCCTTGTCTCGGATACCGTCCTTGGATCCCCGCCACTAAGAGCTATGGGCCATATGTTTGGATGGACTACCAGACCGTGCAGAAGCGACGGGCAGCCATCGGTGTTGGCCTAGCTGAACTCCACGAGCGCATCGGGGTCCAGGGCCGAAACTATGGAGTTGGTCTTTGGTGCCAGAATCGGCCGGAATGGCAGCTTGTCGGTGAGTTTACTCTCCCTATGTCCGATGCAGCGTTGTAGCTAACAACAATTTAGATATGGCCTGTATGTCTCAGGGAATATTCTCAGTCTCCATCTACGAGACCCTCGGTCCAGAAGCTACCGAGTACATCATCCAGAATACTGAGCTTGCCTGTGTGGCCTGTTCCTTGCCACATGTCCCCACGCTGCTTAAGCTGAAGCCCCGTCTTCCTACCTTGAAGTTCATCGTATGTCTTGAAGACCTCGATTCCGACGAGCCCCAGGGCCACACCAAGCGTGATATCCTTAATCCTATTGCCAAAGAGCTTGGCGTTACCATTTACACCCTCAAGGAAGTTGAGGAGCTAGGGGCGTCCCTTAATCGTCCTTACACTCTCCCTTCGCCGGATGATATTGTCACCATCAACTATACTTCTGGTACCACTGGCCTGCCCAAGGGAGTTGTCCTCACCCATGCAAACGCTGTTGCTGCTGCTTCCTGCTCCCTGAGCGCTTTTCCACAGGGCCCAGGGGACGTTGCTTGCTCCTATCTACCACTTGCTCATATTTATGGACGTATGATTGAACAAACACTTCTCTGGGGTGGCGGCCAAATTGGATACTTCCACGGAAACATTCTCGAGCTTGTCGATGACTTCAAGTTATTGCGGCCGACCGTGCTTGCCTCTGTTCCACGTCTTTACAGCCGTTTCGGCGGAGCTATCCGTGCCGCTACTGTCGAACAGCCTGGCTTCAAGGGCGCTCTCTCGAGACATGTCGTTGCTACCAAGACTACCAATCTAGTCGACGCCAAACCACAAGATGCCACCTACAAGCATTCAGTCTATGACAGGATCTGGACTAAGAAGGTCGCCGCTGGACTCGGATTTGACCGCATGAGATGTATGGTCTCTGGCTCAGCACCTCTCGATGCATCCCTCCACCAGTTCCTTCGAGTTGCATTTGGCACCAATATTGTCCAGGGATACGGATTGACTGAGAGCTACGCCATTGCCACTTGCCAGGGCAACTATGACTTGACTGCTGGCCACTGTGGCTCTGTTGCCATCGCTCAGGAAGCCTGTCTGCTCTCTCTCCCCGAGATGGACTACTCTGTCGATGACAAACCATATCCCCGAGGTGAATTACTGCTTCGTGGAAACACCGTGTTCCGGGAATACTTTAAGAACCCTGAAGAAACCGCCAAAGCTATGACGGAGGATGGATGGTTCCGCACTGGAGATGTCTGCCAGGTCGATGAACATGGCCGATTCCACATAATCGATCGCCGGAAGAACTTGCTAAAACTTGCGCAGGGCGAATATGTATCTCCCGAGCGCCTCGAGGGCATCTACCAGAGCTCCTGCCCATACATCGCGCAGGCATTTGTCCACGGCGATAACATCCAGTCGCATCTCGTCGCCATCCTTGGCGTCCAGCCAGACATTTTTGCTCCTTTTGCCAGCAAAGTGCTAAAGAAGCAGATTGCGATGGGCGACACTGAGGCCCTGAAGGCCGCTGCCAGCGATGAGAAGGTCGTTCTCGCTGTCCTAAGGGACATGGAGCATGCTGCTAGAGTGAACAAACTCTCGGGCTACGAAAAGGTGAAGAATGTTGCTCTTATGGTTGATCCATTCTCCATCGATAACGGTCTATTGACCCCTACGTAAGTTCCCATCAACTTGTGGTTTTGATATCACCAGATGCTAACATGATACCCCAGCCTAAAATTGAAGCGTCCTCAATCCGTCAAGATGTACCGTGACGTCTTTGATAAACTGTATTCCCATATTCCTGACCTCTCAGCAGGCAAGGGAGCTAAGGCTAAATTGTAGGGGGAAAAAGGTAACAGGTGTGGAGCGCCGCTTTAGACATGTTTCTCTTCTTGTATCAAGTACTAGGGTAGATATTATTATTCGGTATATAAACAAAATATGATATCATTACGCAATTCATACTCCACACGGGAGATATATCCATAACGCAGGCACCAATCACCAGTTTTTTGAAAATAATTTAGGCCAATGTCTCGTGTCGGGTGGCCTCACTGTAAAATTAAGATATCGGAGTGTCCGAGGCGGTGCGCCAAGCCCAAAGAGAAGAGCCGCCCGCCCAACCCTTGGCGGAACTTTGAGCTTCTCGCAACATCAACAATCTCGCTGCAACGGAGTGCACAAGGTGGCAGCCAGCAACTCCGCCGCCATGCGTTTCTCATATTCGTCTGTCCTGCTTTCGCTCCTTGCTCTGTCCTCCAGCACTCTCTCCGCCGCGTCCTCGTTAACGGTCGCCCTCCCATCTTCCGTCCGAATCGGCTCGCTGCCGTCATCCACCTATGCAACGCTCACCACCATCTCTCAACCGAACGGACCTCTAAAGGCACCGCTATCCCACCTTTCGACCTTCGTATTTGATGATATATCACCTCCGATAGCATCCACGGGCTCCGAAAAGCCGATATCATACCTCCTGGATATCCATTCGAAAAGCCATGTCTTTGCGCCGTACAGAGTCGACGTCTCCTCGGAGACTGGCAAGATAATCGGTGTCTGGGAGACTTATCGGGGCAATCCATGGGATAACAAGGGAGCTGAGAAGATTATCTCGGGCGGCGATTATGAGCCTGAAGTGGTCGTTGTGGAAGCCAAGGTGCTTGCAAAGAAGGACTTTTACGAGCAAAGAGAGAAATGTAATCCCCTCCTCAATACGTTTTGCTCCAGTCATGGATGCCTTATATTCAATGAGCAGGAAGACTAATCTTTTCATCTTTTTTTCCGTTTAGTCTCTCCATTGGCATTACTGAGGAACCCCATGCTTCTTCTCGCCATCTTTGCCTTGGCCGTTACGTTTGGAATGCCATACCTCATCGAAAACAGTATGTCTATCTTGCATTTGCTTAGTTTCTACACCTGCTGTTATTGTCACTTGTTTATGGATTTGAGCTAACTATGAGAATTAGTGGACCCTGAAACCCGCGAGGAGTTTGAGAAGCAGCGTGCTGCAAAGAGAAATAAGCCTGCCAACCCTGCTCAAGGGTTTGATTTGGCTGGATGGATGGCTGGAACAAATCCTAATCTGATAGATACTGGAAAACCGGCAGGTTCTAGTGGGCGAGAGCAAGAATCAGCTGCTGCAGCAATGCGAAGAAGAGGCTAAAGTTTGGGACTTTGGGTGAAGATCACTTCCCAATTCTACCCCATACCTTTATACTAAGATACCAGGCGTGATATAATGATACGAAAAGCATGCAATTTAATGTTTCATATTGTATGTTCTGAATAAAACTTAGGTCGTGTTGACTGAGAGTGTAGACTCATTGCAGCCCGAAAATACAGACAGTTGAAGTAGTGGCGCCCATGCTGATATTGTGAATATTAGTCTTTCCAAATAGAAAGTCAAGCAGCAAGTAATACATTATGAATAGTATCCTTCCTCATACCCCCCTTTGGCCTGCAATACTCTCTACTTACACTTCGCGAGATGTGTAAAAGATAAACATCTGCACCAGCTTGGTCCATATCCGAGTGATGTTCGAAGCCCATTTTGTACCCATACCTGAGCCTCAAAGATATAACCCCCAGCTGCACATATTTCCCCAGGAGATCATGAACAGTATGCCCTCGGTAACTACAATATAAAATGGGTTCGCGGACACCTGCAGTAGATCGCGCTAAATCAGCCAATGGGCGCTTTCAGGTTCGGATTATCTTTTCGCCTAGTGGCGCTTATGCAGCCTAAATTTAGACGTCACCTGCGCCGCACTTGGCGGGTTCCGGGGTCTTATATAAGCCAACGGATCCCCCGGATGGTTCGTTCATCGACAGTTTCAGCGCGGATGGCCGCGAAGGGTTGCGTCATCGACAGGAGAACGCCCTATTACGGAAAAGTTTCGTCCTTCGTCTTTTAAGTAGCCTTATAGGCCTCGTTGACGCCTGTGAAGACAACATATTCCCAGTGCTCGCCGACCCCGTATCTGGTGGACAAATCTACTCGGCGTTTACCGCCGTATGCGCGACCTTCACGATGCCTGACGAGCACATACCCGGTTCAGACGGGCAACCAGTCCTGTCTGAACAATCTGCTATTCCTATAGTCGACCACGATCCGGACCATGCCAACAACGACAATATCCTTCCCTTCGGCCTTGCAAACGACGTTCCTTCAGTGGTACCAGTCTGGCTCTCTGAAAGTTCCAAGTCCTTCCGCTGGGGCTGGGTGCCACTTCCGTTGCGCAAGGCTGGACGTGCGACAGTTAAATGGTTAAAGGGCCCAGACCCGCCTCATAATCTACGATTTGAACCCCTCTTCCCAAGTATCCAGGAGGCTCCTGTTCTCTTCTTGGAGCAATACTTCCCGAAGAGAAAGCAGAAGATATTCTTATTACTGGGACTTTATTTCGCCTGGTTTCTGTCATGGGGTCTTATCCTACGACATTCAGCATCGTCGGGCCACATCGAAGGATATGGGATTCCGAGCCCAATAGGTTGCAGTGCGAACTACTGGTGAGGATTGCTGACCCCCGAGATTTTGTCTTTCATTCTCATACTTATCATCCTCTAAATATAGGACTAACGCTCATCGTTGTGGCTTAAACGGCTATGACTGCAGGCCTTTTGAAGCCTCCTCCTTTGCGTTCCGATGCCCAGCTTTCTGCACAAGCACAAAGCTACTCAACCCTTACATTGTTGGCAATCAAACGCTGAATTATCAGCCTCTTATCGTTGGCGGCCCTGCACCGGGAGCTCCCAAAGAAGATGCAATATATCGTGCAGATAGTTACGTTTGCCAGGCCGCCATACATGCTGGGGTTGTTTCTGGTGCCAACGGAGGATGCGGTGTTGTGCAGTTGGTAGGCTCTTCTGACGAGTACTTCGCTAGTGAAGCGCATGGATTCAATTCCACCGGATTTTCATCCAAGTTTCCAAAGTCATACAAGTTCGTGAAGTTAGAGGGGAAAGAATTCAAGTGTCCACGGGATATGAGATGGGTTCTACTCGCTATCACCGCAACCACGCTCGCGCTTCTGTCTATATTCACCACCTCACCTGCCGTTTTCTTCTTCAGCACGTTCGTTATCCTTATCATGCATGTGGGTCTCGTCTCAGACCCTCCTGGAGTTGCTGGTATGGCTGAACTGCTCTCCATGCTGTTCTCCCGTCTTCTACCGGCCAGTTTCATTGCCTATGTCCTATATCTATACTGTGCGGTACCGCTACTTAAACCACTCTCCTCTCCACCGATGTACCAGATCACCAGAACCATCCTATACCTAGTTCCAGCCTTCATCGGAGCGCTCAACAACTACACCTTCGCGAGTTGGATTCCAATTCAACGCCTCACCCCACATGACATACAGAATCAACCGGGTGCCCCTGTTGCATTGGCTATTGTTTTGACTATCGTCATCTCTATAGTCCTTACCCAAGCCTGGCAGATACGCCAGGGAGGCCTATTTTTCCACTTCATCAAAATTTATCTGGTCATCGCGATTTCAATATTTATTCTGCTTGCTCTTCCGGGACTACGTCTACGTATCCATCACTACATATTAGCTATTCTCCTCATGCCTGGGACTGCTATACCTACTCGACCCTCTATTATATACCAGGGCCTTCTCCTCGGCCTCTTCGTTCATGGTGTTGGAAGATGGGGATTTGCATCCATAATTGAAACCCCCGATGCACTAGGGGAGATTCCGGGAGTTGGTACTTGGTGGGGTGCTACCTCCCCAAACATCACCAACTCATCCGCTACAGTCTCTCTTGCCTCGCCATACGAGAGTCACTATTTCCCCGGCAACGGCAATATTACATTCAAGCTATGGGATCGGAAGCTGATGAAAGAGCTAAATGTTGACGGTGTTAGTGTTCTTATTAATGACGTCGAACGCTGGCGTGGATATGTGGATGAAACCAAAAAAGGGATATTCACATGGCAGCGTCGCGGTCGTCAGGGACTAAGTACTAGAAAACTTAGTGCCCTATCTACACTGGGAGAGTCTCCGTTGAAGAATTACTATGACGATGATGATAATGATGACGACGACAATGACGATGAAATAAATTTCCCGCCCCAGGACTTATTCTTCCGGTTTGCGTTTTTGCGTGGCTCGACCGCGGGGCTATACGGTGGTGTTGGTGTTTGGCTAAAGAACGGGACTTGGGTGCCCCCACCCCCACCAAGGACATGAGTATAGAGGCTTTTATTCAATTATCTCGAGGTGATTATATTTGGCGTTTCCGGGCCGCTAAATCGCTGCTAGACCCCCTTCTTGGGCCATTTAGATTCTGTTAGATATTGATGTGTGTATCTGGAGTTATTGGTGGCTAGATTGGAACTGGAAGCTGGTAAATGGTACCTTGAGCCATAGAGAATTTCTATAGTTAGCTGCTGCTTCCGTTTCAACCTGAAAGGGCATGAATACAAGTCCTGTAACTTATGTTTTGTTAGCTCACCTTAGAAAGTCAAATTAAAGTGATTAATAAGCCAAACTTAAACTTTATTCTGACGTCCATGGACGGATCGAGATATAAAGTGGAACAGACAGGGATCGATGAAGAGCGTTACATTCCCCCGCAGTCAGCATAGTATCTGCAATGTCAGCACTTCCATTACTGCTCACACCTCCCACAGTGATGCACCATGACAGTGCATACAGTTTACTTGGCATCTCGATCCCTTGATCCACTATACCCGTGTTCATTCGTGAACAAAAATGAACGGCCAGCAGTGTTTTCTTAGGACAGCAGATTCTCAACCTTGGGCTGCCCTTATATTCTGCTCAATAGCATCAAATGCAGCTCAGTCATATATTTTCAATATACCGAAACTTGGGAGGCCAATGATCCAATATGGGCCAACCGTTTACCTACCACGAGGTTCAAACTGACTCCGATATTGAAGATTCAATTCGGATGAAAAGGAAATCGAGTCGAAGTTCAGATCGTCGATGTTGGGCAACACTCTTTGTGTTCCTACTCGGAATAACAACTCTCAATGTTATAGCGGTCTGGAAACTATGGGATCTTAGCAAAACCACAGCTTCGCACACACATATGGCATCACACACTCACTCGCCTTCCACCCTTCATTCATCCGTACCGTCATCCACGGAACCCGAACCGATAACAAATTGTGGCAAGTCGCGGGCAGAAGCCATCTCTCGCGGATGTGTCCTTGATATCATGGCTGGGGCATGGCTGCCAAAAATATGTTACGATGAAGAGCTTGCGCTAGATGTTCTCTCAAACTCGACAGACCTAGCGAAGATTGGAGGTGCTGGACCTCTCCCTTGGTGGGAAGACCATAATCATACCATTCCCATCGCCGCCGATTCGCTAAAAAATCTTGATTCACTGGTTGCAAATACCTGGGAGCCATACCACTCTGCGCACTGCTTGTACAATTGGCGCATATTGACCAAAGCAACGAAGCGCGTGAGGTGGGGAGAAAAAGGTGTATACATCCATACGCAGGCTATTAATTTCAACCATGTGAATCATTGTAACGAAGCCCTTATTACTCAACCACCAGGACTAGGAAGAAAGACGCAGGTTGAATTTGGGCTCGGGACATGTGTTCGCTTGGATAAGGATTGAACTCTCAACGTTTGACTTCGTTGTTTCCCCTCCTAACAATTCAGTGATGTAAAGTATCTCCCTGGTTAATTCAGAGTTGACAGAACGCAAAGACAGAATTATGACTTCCAATTCCATGGGATACGTAATGTATGATAAAATTCTTGGGGGTGAAAAATTCGTTAAGCAATAGATTCCGAAGTAGTCTCTATTCGATACGTTTATGGCTTCCTTATAGATTCTTGATAACTCGAAAACCAAGGTATTGATAGACTGGCAGATATAGGTACTAGGTAGCTACAAAGTCTTATATAGTAAGGAGAAATTGATGTGAACTTGTAATTTATTAATCTATCGGCTGTATTGCCTAGCCTTATATCAAGCCTGATGTGAAACTTCTTGATATGCCATGTTAGCCCCCACAGGCCTAACATACAAGTCACAATTACCACATACTGCAGCCTACGCATTCTGTACATCATTTCCGTAATCTTCATCGTCCTCCGCAGCAGGAACATAGAAGCCATAGTAAGTGTTAGCGCCGGCGTCGGTGGCTGGGGTTTCACGGCGTGCAATCTTTCCGTAATCTTCGTCGTCTTCCGCAGGAGGAATATAGACGAGATAATCTCCCTTCCCTGCCGATGTTCCATGGCGCTCAGATTTCATGATATTGGCATCCTGACAAGGGACTATCAGCATTATTCAAATATTTAAAGCATCAAGTATTAGACTTACCATCACAGGAGCAGCATAGGCAGATGCAATGGCCATAACAAGTGCTAGAGAAACAGAGAGCTTCATTTTGGCTGGTATGCTTTATTTGAATATTCGATAAAATAGCCGCCGTTGCAGTTGAGTTGTAAGGGTTGGTTGATGCGGGTATGATTCTGAACTGAAGATAGGACATGTGCAGTTTCAGGTTTTTAAAGAACGCTGAAAAGCGGTGTCTGAAGCCATACGTAGCTATATTGTCGCTCTACTCTCCACTAGGCTAACGTTGGATTGATGACTCCCTGCAATGTCAGCATCTATACAATCACGAGGTTGCTGACCTACCCCTGCCTGCTTACCTGGAGGATCACTTATTTCCAGCCATCAGGGTGTCATCATGATCTGCCGGTCAGTAAAGCTCTCTCTATTACGTGACACTCTTTTCTATCTATCAGGTATGTGAAGGCAATGCCAGAAGAATTTTTAGATCCTCCTGGTTCTCAAGGTAGACGAGATGTCGAATTCGAACAGTGCATCTGACACGAGGTTGTCTATTGATGCATACGAGAATGACCCCTTCTTAAACAAATATAAGGAAAATCGCTTTCAACGACGCAGAATCTCCATTCTCATCTTTTCGTTGATATTTGTGCTGGGTATCTCCGTCTTCTGCAACATCATATTGATCTTTGAACAGTATAAGAGTTGGGACCTGGATAATGTCTGTACAACCTATACTTCGCAGTATAGTGAGTGTATTCTATTCCAGATGTGCGCCAAAATTCCAAAATCCTGTCAATTAACCAATGCATAGGATCGCCAATTTCAAACGATGTCAATCTAAAATATAACACGGTCACATTTAATGGTTCCCTCTTCGGTGATCACGTCTGGCGTCGATGGGTCGGCGATGATGTTGACCAAGCATGGCTTGACCTTGGTGTTGAATGTAGGCCAGTTCCAGCCTGATAAACCAAGGGAAATACCCGAAAATCTGACTGCTAATACAATCTCAGACCAGCCTGTTGCTATCCCGCATGAGGATAGAGCTCTGTACGGCCTCCAGGAAGGCCAGGTGAAGATGATGGAGAAATATGGCGGAAATTTTGTGGCACATATTGAAGTTTTCCACCATCTTCATTGTCTTGTAAGCACAAAGATTTCCCTTGATTATTCTGATTGGATCAAGGCTGATTAGCATGAAAGGACGTACTTCGGAAAATTTCATACTATGGTTATGAACATTATCTGAAAAAAGGGGGGAGCCTGTTTACCAACGACGAGAAGACTGTAAAACACCATGCAGGTAAATGTCCCACAATATTCTACCCCATGGTTGATGTATGTGTTAACTAGCTCATAATTAACTAGCGCATTGCCTTGATGTCCTTCGACAGCAGATAATGTGCACTGCTGATACTTCAGTTTTTGGACAATGGTGGGTGAAAGGTATTGGGCCCTTCGTCGACTTCAATACAAAGCACCAGTGCAAAGATTACGAAACAATCCGGTCTTGGGGAGAAAAACACCAGATATCTCCGGATGTAGAGGTGGAAATGTGGCCTGGTGACCCAGAGCTGCCAGTGGTACCCTGATACTTGATTGTTTCCTAGAATTGAAATCAAAACTACTATTCATGTACCAGCAATTTAAACTCACTGGAATCGTCATAATAACCTGTTGTTCAAATATACTGCTCAAGTTCAAGCATCAATGTCAACACCTGACTCTACTAGGAGACGCACTGCATCCTCATGTCCTCTTTCTGCCGCCATATGCAATGGTGTTCGCCCCTGATAGTCTTTGGTATTTCCATCAGCTCCGTTATCCAGAAGGGCCATTACGATACTCGTGTGCCCCATTTTTGCAGCATAATGTAAAGCTGTAGCCCCTGAATTATCTTTGATTTTGATATCGGATCCATATTCAAGCAGGCACTTCACAGTACTAGTATGGCCCCGTTCCGCTGATAAATGAAGTGCAACCTTGCCGTCTAACTTGCTTTCATGATCTGCGTGGAGTGGCATTATCAAGGAACTATCGGGAAATTGTATACTTCGATCAACAGTGTTGGGGCACGTTCTAGTTTTTATATATAAGCCGGGAACTCCTAGATCCCCTGCAGATGATTGTCGTACGAAACCGGGGTGCTCTTCAGGTGTTGAAATTTGCATCATCTGTGTAGACGGTTCAACTGATCCAAGATTTGGCTGTAAATAAATTCCCATAGGTTGATCGAGATTCCTAACGGTATCAAACCCAGTCCCCAAGGGTAATTGAGCACCCCTACGGGAAGCTATGAAGGGGCTTAAGGAATATGTATCCCGGGGCTCTGTGTTTAAATTCATTCTTGGTCCTTCAAAAGGCTTGCTATCGAACAGGCTCTCAGGACCAATAGGTACGCAATAGTCATCGTTGGCTTCGTAGTGGCATCCCGGCTTATCGAGCAAGATCTCTGGACTTAAACTGTTTGGTGGTGATAGATATGCATATGAGTTTTCTTGGGCGTCAGCCACATGGCCAGGGGTAGCAGAGCTCGGTGAGCTCAGCAAGGAGTTTTCTGAAGCTTGTTGTATATCACGGCCAAAAACATGGTTAAGAGGCTCTTGGGTGTCAATCCCTTCTGGAATTTCTTGAGAAATGCTTTTATTTCGGTTGTGCTTTCTTCTCCCTATACCAAATGGCTGTGAGTGATTAGGCCTATTCAAAAAAATAAGGTCATTGCCATACTGTGATTCCTTTGAGCTATTCGATTCTGGAGACGACGCCGCTCTTTCATTTCATTCTCTCTTTGAGCTTCCTCCTGCTCATTCGGTTTTTTGGTAGAATCTGAGGGTTGTTCCATATGCATTGGTTATAAATTCGAATTATTGATCGACTAGGGCTCATGAAGATGAGCAAGTAAATAGTAATCACAGGATTGATATGTACCTCCAGGGAAGAAGCCGAACTTATACCCATGATACCTGCGAGTCAACAAGCCAGTATATCTCCGAAGACCATGCAGGGTTGCATGTCGTTGGCCTGATGTCGACAATATTCATCATCCTCCAGGTTGCTCGAGCTCTTTCCCCGCTTCCTTCTCCATCGTATTACCGGGTTTTATCAGTTACCCTTGTAGCAATGCGACCGGAACCGTGGAGGATGCATGGCAAGATCTCAGGTGAGTGTGGTGAACAGGGACAATAGGAATAGGGAACCATGAGCAACCGGAAGGCTGGGTAGCGTAGAAAAGGAAGTCCAGTAATGCCTTCAAACCATTGCTATATGTATTTCCGTCCATTCTCATTTGTTCCCCTATATCGTAGATAGCCAGCGAGATGGCTGGGAATGGATAGGTTCACAGTAAAATGCGGCTTACGTCGGGATTAAGTACATACAAACACTTTGCCAATGCTTTGGGAACCCCTGATGTCAAGCCATCGTAACTTACATAACGCTCTTTTCACTCCAAGCAACTAGTTATCAAACAACCTATCAAACGGTAACTATACCAGGAAGTATTAGGAAATATGTTGGAAAGAATTGTGAACTGTTGGAATCAGTTTCTCCTGGTCTAGAGTAAAAGGCTCTTGGAGAGGGACGAGTTAATGGTATGAATGTGATCCTGGTGTATCTGTACAGCAGTTCGTGAATATTCCTCTAATGGTAGTTGATTTTTCCGGAGATAGGTTTACATTCATCCTAAGTTGATTGAAGCCAAGGTAGTGAGTTTAGAAAAAGTAATGAACACATAAATCGCTCTTAAAATTAATGGCTATAGAACCACTTATAGAGTGGCGTGGACATGAAGACTATATAAACACAAGGAAAATTGCCAGAGTTATCCTTCTCTTATGCGGCTTTTTCCCCTTCCTTGTCTCCAGCATGGAAGTCTGCCACGGCAAGTTGGTTCAGTTCGTCCTCAGCCTGGTCAGCCTTGCGGTTGCTAATCCAGAAGCCAATACATCCAATAAACGATAGGCAGGCGGTAACAGTGTAGTTCCAAATGAGAAGAGGATCAGCTGACAAGCCAACCAGGGCCTGGAGCAGAGCGGAGGAGATGGCGTTCATGAAGAGTGCGAACGCTTGAACTAGAGATCGCATGTTTCTCGGGGCCTTCATGAATGCATATTCAAGAGATGTCACTGATGCAAAAATTTCAGAGACACCACCGAGGACATAGGCAACAGCTTGAACCCAGACACTGATGGGAGAGTTCTTTCCATACTCTGTCTTGCATTTGCTTGCGTCGTTACCACATGGGTTGGTTTTGTAAATATAATACTGCAGGACAGCAGAAGAAACCATTCCACAACCAGCAAGGAAGAAACCGGTGGTGATACGCTTGATGGGGGTGAACCGGATGCCACTCTTTCGGAGAGAGGGATAAACGATCCTGTCCATGATTGGGATGAAAACAATGAGGGTGATGGGGTTGAGATTGTTGATGATATCATTTGGTACTCCAGCGAGCTCCAGAGTGGCAGCCTGAGAGGTAAGGTTGGTAGTTCCTTGGTTATATGCTACCCAGAAAAGAGGGTACCACAGGAAGACGGAACAAGCAATAATGCCTCGTCGAACTTCGTCAACCCAAGCGTCATCAAATGTCATCCAGGCTGGCTTGTTTGCAAGGCGACTGGGTTTGCAAGCATTCCAGCTGTCTGGGTGCTTGAAGTCACGGCCCCTATTCCATAAACATGATTAGTACGTGAAACAGAGGAATAATGGGAATAACCAGGCCACTTACATCTTAGCGACGTTCCAAGAGCCCTTGCCCTTGGCGACGAGTCCGATGAGTTTCATGGCCTTGTAGTAAATTGAGCCACCTGGTTTGGTTCGGACGTATCTCTTGCGGCAAATGAACAGCACCAACGGGCATAGGCAAAACATAAGTGTTGGAAGGAGGAAGGAGAGATAGAATCCGACATATTTTTCAGCGAAAACCATGCCGATTTGACCACAGAGCGAGCCGATGTTGATCATGAGGTAGAACAAAATGAAGATACGAGACACTGTTGCAGCAGGGTCAACAATAACTCGTTCTCCTGACTTTTCCGTTCGGATATACATCTGGGTTTCTGTATATTGCTCAGCAATCAGGGGGGAAATGTTGGATCTGCAATTACGGTTAGCATGGGCTGTACCTCAACACTCGGCTTCAGTAAGGGTTATAAACATACTTGAATCCACCAGTTCCGACACCCATGATAACAAGGCCAATGACGAAGCATGGAAGTGCACCATTCGGATTCTTGATAACTGGAGGGATGGCGGAGATGATAAGGATGGTGTGTCCAACAAGCGCACAGGCAATCGAGTACATGATTGTTCTGAAACGTCCAAGATGCTCCTCCGCGATGTAGGCTCCAACCAAAGGCATGATATAGGCCCAGAAAGAGTTAACTGGAGTTAAGTTAGCAAGGCTCAGATGGTGTTTGATATTTGGAAAGAAAAAATGCATACATGTACTGATGGCGGTAGACGCTCGTTGACCTAGGCCGAGGGCACCGGGGACACGGCTGGTGATAATACCAGGCCCGACGCTGTTACCAGCAGTCGAGCCCTTTGGAAGTGGCTGTTGAATGAAGTTGACGACTATGATGAATAAAGGTCAGTCGAATTGGCCAATTTTAGACTCGAATAGAGCAGAGTAGATAATAATGGGATACTTACAAACTGCAGTTGTTCCATAGTATGAGAATCGCTCACACAATTCGACGAAGGCAATGCTGAAAGCAATCCATGGGATCTTATCAGGGACACGACGCAAGGTCGCTATCTCCTCATCTGTAGGAAGTTCCTTACGGAGGCCGGTAGCTTCATCGTCACTCTCGTGGGCACCATTGGCGGCAATGGCCTGGACGGTAGATAACTCCTTCTCATCAAGGGCCGAAGTGTATTTGGGGCTGTCACGGCCATCGGCCTCAGAGCCTCCTGAAGCAGTCATGGTCGTAGATATTCGGCCGCTTGGTCGACTGGCACTCTTCAGTTGAGATTTGACGGCGGACAGGTTCGAGTGGCACAATCAAGACCAGAGCTGAAAAATCCCCGGGGCGTCCGTCAAAGGGGAAACGGCCCCCTCTATATGTAGGCACCACATGGTCCAAGGGATCTTCAGTCACCCAAGGTCTAACAGACGACCCGCTTGTAACCGTGGAGAACAGAGTCCCCTCTTGTGGTGTGGGATTGTTGAGTTGCTTGAGCCTGGAGGAGGGACAGGGAGGGAGGCACGCTACCCCCAAACGAGCAACGAACGAGATGAACCAACGCGAGAGTTTTGAGTTTACTTGCTGTGTTTTTTTCTTTCTCTCTTTGCTTCTTCTGCCCCTTGGCCCTTCCAGATTATTCGCCATCTCAGACGTCGCCACTAAAAATGGGGACTCCAGTCCACTGATTTGGCGATGAAGGAGCTGGGGAAGCTCGCAATATTGAGCACCCTGTCGAACAATCCACTGACTGCAGGCTTGGGGGGTTGCAACGGGGGTCCCGTGTGGAGTGTGTCGGGGGAAACCTTCTAGGGGACCAGGAAGTCAGTCTTTCCCACATTAAACATGCATAGATCCCGAAGATAGTGGCACATTAGCGTAGAATGTGCAGGTGCTTGTTCGGTATCCGAGCACTCATTTGACAGCCTGAAAATAGCTGAACTCTGTGCCACCACCAGTCATTCTGCTAGAGCCGCCTCCTCCTCATCCGATGTACATCAACAGATGCTTATTCGGAAATTGCATTTGAGCAGGAGCGTGTTTGAGGCTTGCTAGTTTGGCTAAGTTTGATTTCTATTTTAATATCCGAGTCTGCTCCTTTGGTGCGGGAGCACGTGAAATTGGCCCTGAGAGGCGGACAGAGCTGACACAGAAAGGTTTGCCTCGCAATTGTCCACGACTAGCTTGAGTGTGGTGCTGTCCAGAGGGCGGCGTCCAGTGTGAGTGCATTGGGGGTTGCATGGGATGCCAGGTGCCGTGGGTGAGATTTGGGCGCCTCGACACAATCAGCAACAGCATTTCTATGTTGTAATGATATTAGCGGAAGCGAACCTCCTCCCGCTTTCGTCCTAGGGGGGAATTTCTTCGAGGAGTAAATACCCGACTAATCATAGCCCACCAATGAGTGCTGCATTATATTCGTCGCCCTCCAGAAAGCCCATCGCAAGTTCTGTTGGTTTTCGGAGGTTTTATTACGACGTACACCTTACCAGGCACCCATGTCACTTTCTTTGGCGTCTCCATATCCGACCACTAGGCTATCCCTTGTCTTCTTCCTTCCCCAGACAGACCCTTGCTTGATTGGATACGAAGGGGCTAGTTGATAACCGCCAGAGTTTTGGACAGATATGGGGACAACCCCTGACCGAGACCATTAAGATAAGAGGCTGTCTGGACAAGTTTCCAACGGGAACTGACTTGTGCAAAGAAAACCCTTGACTTTTTTCGCTTATAATATTGAACACCAAATTATAAAATGTTCGTGATAATAGGTGAGCGATAATGGAGTCGGAAATATTTCTCCACAATAAGCCTAGTTACAAGGGGTACAGAGTACATTCCCTTGACCAGTGGAAAGTCTTTAGCTCTGTTTTCTGGGCGTTTGCTGGGCGCATCCTAATGGAGGCAATCTGCCCATGGCCAAGTCATCAGTGGTTTCTTCCCAAGAAGGGCCAAGCTGTTATACGGAGGAACCCGGGCACGCAAGCTAGGCGTACAGAACACAACGAGAAGAAAATATCGGGTGGCGGAATTTAAGAACAGAAATCATCCCTAGGTTGTTTGGGCGAAAGAGAGGGATGCTGAAAGGGAGTCGAGAAAGCAGGGGGCTGGTCGACTGAGATCGTTCCAACAGATAGAGATGCCGTTTCCCACTCCACCATTGGCTGACGCTGTTCAACCCATCACTCACGCGGACCAGCGTGGGCATCCTGGGGTCAAACCCTGGAGGGTCACGCAGCCGCCAGAGACCGTTGGCGGATTCCCCATGGACCTCAACATGATTTGCTCCACGTGACACGGCAGCGAGGCAGAGAGTCAAGATAGGGTTCAGAGATACGACCAACCGGCTGGTTTCAATTAGTTGCTTTATTCGTGTGTGGCCCGAAGGGAGAGAGACACATCAACTCATGCCTCCAGCGCCATCCTAGACCCTTGGCTTAATCATAGCATTGCTGACTTGTCCAGAACAGGGTTAGAGCGCTTTGCGCCTTTGTTTCTTCGCTCCGGCGAGCGACCGATGTGTCGGACACGCCCTCCGGCGCACAGGAACCGATTTGCTAATGGTTTCATAAACAAATCCGTTGGTGACTGTAAATAGTCTCCCAAGGTGTTACCCAGCAAGTCGCGTGTCTGTTGATTCAATCTAACAACCGACAATAATACAAAGTAATGAGTAGAGGTTAAACAATCATGAGGGTGGTACGACGGGGTGTCCCACGGCTGAGGATCCGTCCAGGGCTTCGGGCAGGGTCGCTCGCAAGGCGATGATACCCTACCTCGCTTGGCGCCGAAGCTAGGCTAAGTATAGAGAGATCCCCGGACTCGTACTTAGTTGAGCTGTGTATGGAAATGAGTTGAGAATGCATGGCTGGGGATGCATGTACGAGAAGATGTCTGCCTCTCATTATCCAAATCATGGCCTGCCGAGTCAAAGAGGAATGCATTTGCGCTGGGGTTGAATTGACTCGTACGGAGTACAGTATTTATTATCGCCATCACCTCCCATGTTGGCTGTTATGTAACTCGGACTTGGGATCAACCTCTTGTCAACGCAACGAGATGGGGTAGTCCTGGGTTGTGTTGTCCATATGTAGTTGAAGTCCTGACCACCTGGCTTGCTGTCGAAGCCTTGACCAGTCCCTGGTCTGATAACGAGCACTTTGACCTGTCTGCATACGGGAGTGAGAGCACTATTTCCCTCGTTTCTTGTTCAACAGAGGCAAAAATGCTTATAATTAGAAGCTGTGGTTGGCAATTCCATCGAGGCGAAGGCGATCAATGCTTGGACCTATTATTGAAGCAACGAAAGGAATATTCAGGCCGTCTTCTAGAAAGCCTTCGCTTTGCACTAAGATATGCAACTCATTTTGTCCCACGCGTGAAGGCTGCTTTCTTGTACTCTTATTGGCTTGCTTCTCGGTAAAGCATCACATCACGGCAAGAGAGGAGGAAGGACAGCAATTCACCAATAATGCGCGCCGAGTATGATATTATTATTTTCCTGTCTCGGGCAAAAGTCACCACGACAACTCGCATGCTAGGATTCCCCGCATCTGCACCCAACCAGGGCTCATTGGGTCGTTTTCAGAGCGATGGAGGTCATTTGAAGGGTAGAGTGAGGGAGGGGACCAGGGTGGGCAGCGTCAAAGGCGAACCAGACCAGCCCTCCCTGGCCTTCGGCTGGGAAACTCTCATCTGTTCGAAACCCGCCCGTCCAGAGTGGTGGAAACTCATCCAGACTTGGGCATCGTTGACCTCTTCTGAGCCTTTCGCCTTCAATCCGGTCCACCATGAAGCGCTAGCTAGTCAGGGACCTTTTTCTATCAGGTAATGTGAATTGATCCAAGGCTGAGGTCTCCCTTCACGCGGCCCAGGCAATCCTCTTTTGTTTCTCTGTTCCCTCCCCCCACAAGCCCCAACAATAAATGTCTATGAACAAACGTACGGAGTAGCTTCCGTCTTATCTCACGCCATATTATTCCGAGATACCCTGGCTAGAGAAGGTTGGCGCAGCGAGACGCTTAGTTCAGGACCTATAGTGCCATGCCTTCTCGTCACTCTATACGACGGATTTTCCAGAATCATTACAGCAGCAACCCTTTTTCTGCTTGGGCCCCCATGTTATCAGCCAGAGTCGCAGGGGTTTTTGGCGTGGTCCCCACCGGCTTAACTGCGAATTGTGCATTGCAGACCCGTTGATGGCCTTTATCTGGCGAGAAAAACTGGGGCCCAGCGAGTTAACTTAACTTAGCTGTCGGTCTTCCAGGGCCGAGTTCCCTGTCGTTGGTGTTGGTGTTGTTGGCGTTGTTGGTTGTTGTTCTGTTGGTTGTGGACAGTTGCTGGCGATGTTAGAAGTCGATGGCCGGTCGTCTGTGCTGCCCTTTTGGGACATCTCCAACACTGCGTCACATGATGCTATCTCGACGTCGTCAACTTCAGCTTCAGCTTCAACTTCGCCTTCAACCTCGACTTCAGCTTCTGCGCTGCTGTTGATCTCGCAATTGAAGTATCAGATCTTGCAACCGATCCACCGCTGCACCTGGATGGGGCCCCTTATCAGCCCGCCAGCGTTCCGAACGCTGTCAGGGTCAGGGCAGCCGGGGAGGGTCGGCTGGGAGAAATGGGCTGCAGTTGCTGATATCGCTGCTGCAGCAGGTCTTATGAACAAATGAGAAGAGATATGACAGACACCTGGTGCATGTTTATCTCTAATAATGATGGCTGCTCTATATGACAATCCTCTATTCACAGCGGCATTATACAGATAGGATATGAATATTCACTGTTTAACGCCAACGACGACGAGGTTTCTGGGGCTCTGCGAATACTCAAACACAGGCTCAACCCAGGCGTCTTTGACGCACTCTTGCTCTCGAAGATACATCCAGCGGTCAGTCACAATCATTGACTCCACAACAGAGGCACTGAAGGCCATCAGACTCCAGACCACGCTCAGGTTCTTCTTCGCGGACTCATAGCGGGCAACATACGCCTCTAGAGTGTCGTCAGACAAACCTTCAACCCGCTGCTTGATCGCATTGCCGTATTGAGGATCGTGCACTAGCTTTGCCACTGCCGCCCGAGCATAGGCCGTGAACGACAGGAACGCAGACTTTCTCAGTGATCCAACTATGAGCGGACACCCAGGTACCTCTGTGTCCTGCTGTGTAACTCCTGGCTGCGTCTCGTCTTCCCTTCTAGCCGTGTCACTGGAGCTAGAGCTAGCTCTGCCTGGGACAGG